ATTAGGGCTATTCGCGATTCGGTGTATAAGAGCTGACAAATTTATGCAATTGCAGAAATATGCCATGGATTGTGAGCGACCTTTATTAAACTGTCATGGCAAAGCTTTTGCAAAACAATTTTTGTGCATCAGCTTTGGTTTTGTTTATGAATGCAATGCATAGCATTTTTATGCTATGGATTTTCGGTATTGCAAATTTGCCAAGCCATGACAAATGCAAATGCGTGTATTTTGTTTGTGTATTGCAAATAATTTGCAATACAAATTTGCAATGCAATGATGCTAGGCCATTTGCACCGGATCGCGAATAGCCCTAATATTAGCAAAAGCTTGTATACCTCAATAATGGCTTCATCGATTGTTCCTAGTCTGGGCACACAATGACTTTTATTTACGTAAGGGAGACGTCGAAAACTTTTGAAGTCAGACAATAACCACGCCTACTTTCTTTACATATTACGAAAACTCTGAGAAGTGCACGATAAAACATAAGAATATCCGAGCCGGGTATGTGAGCTTAGACTTCGAGCGAACTTAGGTTTCTACTTTTTTTTTGGCAGTTTGTACACTTTTTAGGTTTGTTCATTTCAATTGTTTTCTCAACCTCGCCTTTCTTTATTTTGGCGCTGCTCTCATATTTGTTGCTATTAATATAATAATAGATTAGAGTGTTTGGCAGAGCTGCTCCTCCGATTTGTGGCGTGCGCCTTGTTGTTGCCACGCAAAAGGGAGGGACCTACAGTTTTACACCGACTCCGAACGGTGATTTTATTTTTATGAGAAGCTGTTTTTCATGGCAGAAATACACTCGGAGATGGGCCATTGCCTGAGGGCGACCACTATTAAGAAATAACATTTTGTCTATATTTTTTTGCGATATTGCTTTGCTCCGGGCTTGAACCCAGACCCTGCGGATTGGAAGCGTGCACAGCCTACCACCACAACAAAGCGGCCGCTATTGGTAATATGTAAAATTTGTGACTTAAATAAACTCTATTAGAGTCGTTCGGAAATATGAGCAGCAAAAATGTTCAATATGTACTTACTTATGGCCCTTTGAGCTTTTAAGTAGCTTATAGCCTTATGCTGAATTTCCACTAGGCATTAAATCACAAATTTTTTAATGACAATGTAGAGTATTAAAACATACCATTATATGTATTCGCAAAATTGTCATTATATCTGTTTCCATGTGGCATTTTTTAATGGCATACATTTTTTGTCATTTTAATACCTAGGGGAAGTTCGGCATTAGCATCTTCTCCCTCCTGTACTCATAATTTTTGGTTGTCAAAAATCGTAAACTTATTAAAATTCCTAATTCTCATTTTGAAGGGCACGATAAATAAAAAAATTAAAATTAATTTCAAATGGCAACATCAAATGAAATTGGTAGTTAATCCAACAGTTAAAAATATAAATATTCTGAAAATCTTTAAAGCAAGTATTAAAATGGTGCAAATGGACGTGTTGTCTACCACTTAACGTCCAAATTTTATTGAAAGCAACAAAAAAATGTTTCTCAGCATGAGAAATTCGAAAACCCAACATATATTAAGACCAAAAGTATACATATAACATATATAATGGTATTTCAAAAAACTCTAGAAATACTTAATTCACCTAAACGCTCACCTACCTATTGTCACTTTGTCAAATTGAGATCTAAGGTGTTTGTTTTTTCTATTCAAGGGGCCAAAATATACAAATCGTTTCCTTAATATAGAAAGGCCCTAACTCATTTTCTTTCAAAATCCTGCTTTGCACAAGAGTGAGTAAAAATAATTGCTGCATTATTAATTTAGTTTCAGTGTTTAATGAAAACCAGGGCTTTGATAAAATTCGCAACTGTGGATCTTTGGTTTTTATAAAGCTTTATAACTGCTCTGTAAAATACAAAAATGTTAGGTAGGACCTTTCTATACTGAGGCAACGATATGTAGATACTAGTTTGTACTTTCTTCCTTAGCCACACTACACTTTTCTTTTGGCTTTATAAAAAAAAAAAGGTTTGTAATTTTTAAAGAAATAATTAGTATGTAATGTAAAACATCTGAAACTTACAGCAAGTTTTTTAATCTTTCACTTCGGATATTGTGTCATTAGAGGGATAAAAACTACAATAAAACTGTACCAATCGTTAATGAAGAAGTCTAACGAAAATTTGATAAATCGCTTCGATTCTGGCAAGCGAAATATGATACTGGAGATGGCAAAACGCCGAAATCAGTTCTCCTCAAAGCTAAACCTCCCTACTCACGACTTGTACTATATAGATTACATGAACTTTTTTGCTTTTGTAATATGTACCGGATTATTATTCCCTTACCAGGATCTAAGTTTCAATAAACACTCAGCGCTATATACATTTTATTAATTTGGCAAACGATGAAGGAGGAAGAGTCGCAATTTACGGTTACATATCGTCCTAAGCGCCCAGAGCTTAAAAAAAAAACCGAAATGAAAACGAAACCATTGGTCTCAGCACACTAGTACTTTTTAGATACCCTCATGTTCGTGCATTATTGCTATTGTTTTTTTTTGTATCATTACTGTCGCATTTGTTGCAAATTGTAACATTATTTCATGATCACTTTTCTTTAATGTTCAGCATAAGATTTATTGTAAATACATATGTATGTATGTATGTGCATACATACATATAGTGCGTATACTTTCTGCATTCACTATGACCGTTGTGGTCACAAACTAGCCACCATGTCCAGCCATTAGCGTAGAAAGGTGCCATCTCCAGAAGCCGGTTGGAAAATGTTCACACATACACACATATAAAAATATGCTGTGACGCACTTGTCGCTGGATTGGGCGGTCAGTAACCATTTGTTAACTGCGGTGCGGGCATGTTTTACTTTTGCTTTGCTTCGTATCGCACTTTTGGTCATTCATTTTTTGTGTCTGCTATGTTAGCCTGACTGATTGCGTAGGAACAGCGAAAAGAGAAAGTTTCCTTGCGAAACATTTCAATCACTGTTAGAGTGCCGCAAGCTGCTGTAACACGAGACAAACTTGTCTACGTTCGAAGGCGTGCGTAAATACTTACATTTACATATGTATGTAGACAATATCTGGTGGTTAGATTAATTAGTTTTGTTGAAGTTAAAGCCGTTTTCTTCCCATAAAAACGGTTTATTACTGAAAACCGGCAGGATGCAACTTCAAATAAGTAAAGTAATTAAATAAGCATTGTCTTTTTTTCATCCAGAAATCCAGCAACGACAACTTTTATAGTATTGGCTGTAATATCCAAGCGACATTTATTGCTCTTCCTAAATCAAATGACCTTTGCAAAGAGGATTTAAGGATTTAAAGAACAAAAGAATATAGAAAATGTTTACCCTTGCCTTCAAATTTTGTGTTTAAAGTACGAAGAGTTCTCATTTAAATTTTGACGGGATAGATTGTTTCCCCAATCAGATGCTCTGACATCCGTAAAATGCTAAGATTTCAACGCGGCGACAAGAAATAACCTGCAGTGAAAAGCCAAACCAGTTAGAAAAAATACTAGTTCATTAACTAGTATGTGCCTACCAGTTTGAAAATTTCGAAGAACTCAAGCGTTCAGCGACATCTGCCTTTGAATTGGCAAAGCCTTAAATAAAACGCAATTAATTGCTTTTCTTACAAATGTCGGCTGAGGCATCACGTGAAGACTATTGGTGATGGTTCTGAGATCGTAGGTTTGAGGGCGCTTGGAGGTGGTAAATATTTTTAAAGTCAAATCAATGTAAGTAAAAATAATTATTTAAATTTAAATATATAAATAACAAATTTGAAAATCTAGTTGCATTACATAAAAAAAAACAAACATATGGGAAGAAATGCTTGTGCCATAAAAAAAAATAAATTAAAAAAAATATGTATATATAGGAATCACAATAAAAACCTTATGGCCTTATTCATAAAATATAAAGTAGCTTTAAAGAGCTTTATAAAATGACGTTTTCATACATTTTTCAGTTTATAAACCTTTTTTAAAGCTACTTTATTTTTTATGAATAAGGCCATTAAATTAAAAATATAAATTAATAAACAAATTAAAAATAATATTCAACAATTTTTATTGAGCTCGAGACCGTTTTTTAATGAAAATTTATTGTAGAAAAGCAACAATAATTTGAAAAAATGGTAGAAGTGATACCTATTTCGGAAATCACTACATTTCCTCATCAGACTTTTCTCAGTAGGCCTCGAACCGACGATCCCACTCACTCAGCCAGTTGCCTATGCACCGTGCTATAAAAAAAAAAACAAATTAAAAATAAATAAAATAAAAAAAATTTTCTGGGCTTGAACCTGGGACCTCAGGCATACCACGCGAGTGCTTTGCTCTATCGAGCATTGCGACTGTTGGAGAGCACGCATCATCACGGGGGGTGAATTGGCAAACTATCACATCAACTGTTATGGTGGTACTAGTATTTCTATTAGTAGATGCTGATGCATAGCTTGGTAATTGACATCTCGTAGGACATCGCAATGTTAAAAATATCCGTTGCTAACATTAAAAAAGGATAGAACGCGAACTATTTGGGCTGAAACGCAAACTGGTAGAATTCTAATTCATAGCTAGCAGCCTTCCCTGCAGGGTAGTAGCTATTTTTATTTCGCAGTTTTATAACAGAGGTTTATAGTCAAGGATCCAAAATATATCCCTATAAAAGAATATTGCCCGAATAATTCAAAAGAATATAAATTATGGTACATGCTTTCTCCATAGTCCATAAAAGCATTATAACGAAAGAAATAAATGCTAATGGAAGCGCAGAAAGAAAGGCTATGTTCTATTTGACGTAGTCAAAAATCCTGCCAACTGATAGATCGGCTATATAGCTTGAGAAGATGTTTAAAGAGAATTTTATCAAAGTTGATAAATCTGAATTTTGACCGGTTTCATTATACAAATACTCCTGTATGCAACACGAAACTTTTGATAACTGCGACGAATATTATTTCCCACTGATTCACAAACTTTTCTGCCTTCAGCGGTTAAAACATGGATGCGGTGTACCAGGCTGACAGACAATTTTTTGGTATGAAGTTTTATAGTTCATTCAATTTCAGTACTAAAAGTGAACGCTTGAAGTGCCTCAAACTTCGCGCTGCTTTTTGAGAATTTTGTTTTGGTTGGAGGCGTTTCGTATTTTCATTCAGACAAAATACTTATTTATGTTCTAAAATACTTGTATTTTTATATCGAAGAAGATGCACAACATCGAACTTGCATCTTATTATACTGGAATTTAAAAAAATACATGCCCAAAACTTTTCTCAAAAATCTGATTAAAAAATTTAAATTTTTGAAAGCAAATTTTTGAGATTGGTTGAATTTTCGCGAATTTCGATTAATGTGAATATGCTTTATAAAATACTTTAACCTTATTTGACAAGTTGACCCACTTTTTTGCCATTAAAACAATTGTGTTAAATAAATCTCAGTTCTATTTAATTAACTTGGCAAATTTTTTAATTTCCTTTTGAATGCAGAAGAGTTTGATGCATTTCTGCGTCAAACAGAAAATTTTCAAAAAGATTTCGCCTACTTTTTTTGGCGGTTAGGGCTCGATATGTAAATAAACAAATTTAAAAAAAGTTTTTTTATTGGGAGCGGGAGTAGTGATGGCAAAAAAAATCTAATAATCTATTAATCCGTTTATTGATTAATCGAAAGGATTCAATTAATAATTCCAATTAATCGTAAGAAATTAACCGATTAATCGGTCGTTTCGATTAAAATCGAAAATTAATACAAACCATTTATAAGTTATAAAACTGACTTACATCTGTGCAAAAATTATAGCGCACCACGAGATTTTTTTTGTTATTTAATTTTAGTTATTTTTTAAATATAGTTTATTCTTTTGCAAAAAAACGTATAAATATAAATATGTCAAACTTTATGCAATATTAAAAAAAAAATAACAAAAAATTCGAACTTTTTAATTAGATTTATTAGAAAGATTTTTAGTAGTTTTGTAGCCCATTAAATTTCTGTATAAAAAATTGCAAGACTGAAGTATCTGGCACTTACCATTGATTTTTATCATTTTTTTTTGTAACGGTGTTGCTTATTTTCTTCCATATAAAAACAAAGATTTTTATCCTTTTTTTTGTAACGGTGTTGCTTATTTTCTTCCATATAAAAACGAAGAAAATACGGTATCACCGAATTTGGAAATTATAATGAAAATATATGCATACATGCGTTGTGATTTTTTAGTAGCTACTTAGGTTAAACTCGTGTTGTGGTTTTTTGCAAAAATATCGTTTAAAAGTTTGCAGAATACGAGAATGTAAAAGACCTCCCAACTAGTAACATATGTATGTACTGAATGGAGTGAGACTTTTGTTGTTGCTAATATTATTGAGTGATAAGAGTTCCAATTTTTGTTACGTAATTTTTATTCATACATTGTTGTGTGATGTAGTCAATTTCCGATGGTTTATTTTCGATTATTTTGAAAATTAATCGGTTTATCACTCGATTAATTGAAAGGAAAATTTCGATACAATTAAATCGTTAACCGAATGAAAATAACCGATTATAATCGGTTATTCGATTAATCATGCCATCACTAAGCGGGAGTGGAGCAAGAGCGGAGGTCGGAGCGAAATAAAATACCGGAACGGAGCTAAGAAAAATATTTTCTCTATAAAACTGGTCTTATTGGTTTTCAAGATATTCTTCATGCATACGCTCAAACCAATTGTTGAAACTTTTTTGCCGCAATGAAGACGGTACGTCAGCAACATGGTTTTTGAACGCGTTAACAGCTTCCGCGAAGTTTATCCTTGATGTACGGGAACAACCAAAACCGTTCGATGTTAAATCAGGACCAATTCGATGTTTTGGAGTACATTCGGGATATTAATTATGCCCATGAAAACCCGGATTTCAGATTTTGTCTGAGTCTGGGCTTTCTTTTGAGTGGACATGGGCCATTCCACGAGTTTTTGCATAAACGGAATCTTCACGATTCAGAGTATAGCGCATGTAGTGAACAGAGCGAGGATGCCACCAAACTTTGTTTGTGAATGCCTGATGTACTCTGGCATTAGGGATTTATCTGGGATGGGTATTATATGGACAGATGGACGGTTTATTTTTGGCGAGTTGCATTGCAACCGGACGCCGGCCCCAAAGTACGGCTGAGGTTTAGATACACCTCGAACCCAACCAAGGTGGTTAGTGTGTTGATTCCGCACTTCGGATTGGTACCAAGATTCTGGGCGTTAAAATGCATCAGACGTTGTCCCTAGGAGACGTTGTACTTCTGCCATTAAAAAACTTCTGATAAAAGCCATTTGCCGGTCGAAGTCAGGGTAAAACTTTAAATCGCTCCATTTGTGTTATATCATCAAGACGCATACCAAAAATTGGAAGAGAAGCTCGGCCGAACATTTGACGAAAATGGGAACGCCAAATATTTGTGTGGCTACATATACTGGGTGACATAGACGACCCAAGTCCATCCCTTCGGAAATGGAGGGAAACATTTCTATTGAAAAATGCAAAAATATGAATTACCAAGTCGGAGATGCTTTGCTCTTATGGTCGTATTACCGACTTCGGGTTTCGAAGTCCTATCTGTCTAGACTATTTTATCGATCACAGGCAATAAGCTTTATGTACCCTTGGAATCAGCCAGCGTCTCTACATGATAAGGTTCCCACTTGTCAATGTTCGTTGTTCCCATGGCCTATGGAATTTTCACTTCTTCATTGTTTACATTTTTGATATCTATATTCTTCCGATCTTTTACTATGACAGCAAAAGTTCGAGTCCAGACTCCATGCTATCATCCCGGTACGGTCGGTACGGCGGACTTTGTGCGTGGAATTAGGGAGGTGTGCGTTGGTGAAGTCCATATTCTTACCGTAGGTCATCAACCTGGTCGTGTGTCCATCGAATATTCGCTAGGTGGTGATCTCACTACAGGAGAGCTCTTTCACTTTTTGAAAGGAACTAGCCTTTGAACTACCATCGTATTAATGTTGGTGAATGCGCTTGCACCGGTTGTGTGTCTACGTTCTGAGCTTTGTTTTTTTGAAGGTTCCATACCTGTATTAAGTCGTGGCTTTCGCTTCCGTCTGCCTACTTTGAGAGGCGCTTTTCGTTTTCTATCCATAATTGTTCTCTGAAGTACGCCTGGTATTTAAAGCATTCCGTTCACGAATGGGATTCATGAAGGATCCCAGCTTAGATGATCCTCGCTACGGATCGTATGCCACCTTGGGTCACCTAGAACTTTTCATGTATGAGAAGTGTTGTCGCAAGGTTGAGTAATTTCAGTACAAGTTTTTAGCTTAGTCGGCATGGGTTGTCATGATTCTAGGTCAATAAAACTTCATTTATATATAATTTAGAACAAAAATGCAAAAACTAAGAGAGTACGCATATTGAATTTGGCAAACAAAAATTTTGGAGCACCTTAATATGTAAATCGAACAGCGACAAGGCCTGCAACGCATGACGAGCATCATGTAAGAACCTTCAGCAATGACTGCAAACAAATCTGATCAATGTAGCTTATGGTACATTGCTCTAAGCACTTGCGCATATATGCCCATTTATACATACATCCATATCTACACAACATCCGTCGTGCGTGCTCCACTTTGCCAGTGACGCAGTGAAGAGAGGTGCAATGACGCGTTTGTAACAAGAACTACTCCACTAATACAGACATACTTACATAATTAGTCGTATTATTCCACACTCGTGAATTATTAATTTCGAGACAAGACTGGTACGAGTATTAAAACCCATTGTACATGACCTCGACATGAAAAGCTTCTGATGGACTTTAGCATAGTGCTGAAGAGATTACCATGGCAAGCATACAAGTATTGCGCTTATTAAGTACGCGTATGTAGTTGAGTAGCCGTGGGTTGAAGTTTAGCTTTGGAAAAGAAGTCAATGGCACTGACAAGGTACGAGCTGACTATAGATCGTCTTAAGCTCTGAGCGCGCTGAGCAAAGTGAGTAATATAGAGGGCATGAAAAAGTGAATAGTTTACATTCCATGCACTATATTGAGTGGGGAAATAAGTAAATATATGTACATGTGTGTGAGCAACTCTCACAAAGCTTTGCATTGAAGCGTTCTTCCATGCCAGCTCTCTCAACATTTACAGCTGGCAAGAAAAGCTTTGTGCCATCGATGGCTTAACAATCGCATCGCATTTTGTATTTGTTGCTACTTGTTGTTGGCTTTGCCGCTTCGAGTTGCGCCACAATTTGGTAATACTTGTACAAACCGAAAAAGCGGTGGTACGTAGCAACGGTAGCGGCAACAACCGGTCATGGCTTGTCGCAACATTGACTCGAAGCTAGTGGCTTAGTCTTCGATGAGTTGGGCTCGAAAGCGGTTGTCGTATACGGATCAATTTGTATTTGGTACGCTTGCACGGATATACGAAATTTTCGTGAGTTCGTTGTATGCGTCGAAGTAAGAGAGGAATTTGTGAAATGTTCAATGGAAATTGACAAGAAAACGCAAGCAGAAATCGATTTTTTACTCAATTGTGTTTTTGGGAAAACTTCGCTTTCATAAAATTATTTACCTGCCCGTGAATCAGTGCATTTCAATTGGTGATTAATGTGTGCACTTTAGCATTCACTGTTGCGACTGCGCAGTGTTGATGTCGTAATTGTGGCAGTGCTGACTTTTGTTAGTGATTTTGGCTTTTGGTATCACTCGTTATTCTAAATAAAGCTGCGGTAATTATGCTGGCCAAAGAAAATTAAAAAAAAAAAAAAAAAAACAATGAAATATAAAAATAACTAAAGCAGAAAATCACCTCCAATTAAAGTAGCAACGCTCATTGTTGCTGTGACTTTGTGCGTATCGCGCTATATTCGTTAGTTACGATTTCGGCTAATTAAAATTTGTTGGCCAGTGGACTCAATCGGTGGACCTTGAAACGTGCACGCAATAAAGACATGAAACAAATTGTACCGCCCTTGATGCTATCTTGAAACCCTAAAACGTAGAAACAACGAATTTTCGCAAAAAAAACAAAAACAAATCGGTTTTCGCATGTAATGTCCTGTTAATTAAATACGCGTTAAAAAGTTTGATAATTCATTTAGTTATCCCTTGAAGCATATGTTCTAGATACCTGAAAGATTATGCGACCCAATGTCAGTAGCGGCTGTTGTACGCTAGAAAACGCTGCAAATGCTGCCAGTGTAAGGAATTTGCAAGTATATCCTTTGCCTCCTGGAGCTAATTTACATTCGAATCCGCATTCACATCATCATCAGCAGGCGCAACAGCAACAAAACCACATCCATCGTATTCATTCACAACAGCATTTTTCCCTACAACAACAATTCAAGCCTCAAGCGCCTACCGCGTGGTTTCCACCACAAAGCCTTTATAATGCCATGCCACATCCGTCAAACGCGAGCAAAGCAGCTGCCAATGGTCGTCATCAAGGAATACCTTTTGTGGCACCACAGCCGCCAGCTTTGATACAAAGCCATGGCCAGCAACAGCAGCAGCAACTAATCCCAGCAGCCCCACAGTCCCATTCGCACCAACAACACCAGTATCAACAGTACCAATGCAGCCCACAACAGCAAAAACATCAATCAACGCATTTTCCCCAAAAATCCCAATGCGTTTTGCAGTCCACCTCCACCGTTAGTGGCGCTCATCCTTTTAGTGGTTACCTGTCTGCAAATACACCTCACACCCGACCAACGCCAGATCAATTAAGCGCTGGCGCGTCGTCAGCGGGACCACCGCATTCAGCCAGCTTTACCAAGCTAGCATCAACATCGATAGTTAACCAACAACGCGTCAATGAATGCGCTGGCATACCACTCATTTCAAATTCCACCACACATCTCGCAGCTAACCAGCGACAACGCGTTCAACGCAAGCTGTCTCGCTCGCCTGGACCCCATCAAAAGCTATCAGCTGTTGGTGGCATCGATCCCACCTATAAACCACAGCATCCCTGTGTCGGTCTTTATATGGCGCGTAGCGCAAACGCTGTCAGTTGCTCGCATATTTCCCAACTAGCTGCACATGCTCAAGGTGCACCCTTACTACTGAATAAGCAGTATCAGCAACAACAACAATGTGCTGCTCCAAAATGGCCAATGACGCACAGCACTTCTAATACCTTTCAGTCCGCAGCGTCTTCACACTGTTCACTAAATGCCCAGATGGCCTCGGTCGGAACAGCGGTTAAGTCAAACACTGAGAAAGCTTCTCGTGCTACATTGCGTTACCAACACTCAGCTCCAGCCGCTCTAAGTACTCGCGGAAAAGAGAGTACAACACAGACAACACAAGTGAGCACGGCATCCTCAGAGGCAATTAAACACAGTACCGAGGCTGGAGACACTGCATTACCACGCATAATTAAACCACGAAAACGACGTAAAAAGGATCGTAAGCCCACAACTAACGCCGTTTTACTGAAACTGGATGCAGCCGCTGCTTCTGGTGCAACTTCGGAAATTGCCAGGGACTGCTCGCAAGAAATGCCGGCATTGAATATGCAGCAATCTCAACTGATGTCAAGACAGCCACAAGAATTGCAACGCCTGCAACATAAATCGTACTTGTATCCGCACCAGGACTCTAACGAAAATCTATATAAATTTATAAACTTTTACCTTGGTACTCAGCAGCCAATGGATAATGCTGACAGCACACACGTTTTTAACTCAAATCTACCACTGTTTGACTACAAACCCAGAGGTATACTACCATCGCCGTGCTTAAAGTCCCCACGCTGTGTGAGTGGAATCAGACATAAACAGTGCGATGCGTCACGAGATGAGCACAGTATTTGTGTTTGTCGGCACTGTGATCCGCTACGTTCAATTTGGGATTACCCTCTGAGGCGCTCGCTCTCTGACTCATCGGCCGCCTCGATACGTACACATTCCTCCTCGTCATCTTCGTCGTCGTCTTCATCACAAGCTTCCTCCACTGAGACCGCATCATCCTCCTGTTCGTCGGCGCCGCTGACAGATGGCGCTATTTCACCTTCAACCGCACTTTCTCGTGCTCATCGTGTGGGCGTTATTGGCTCTAATCGTAATTGTCTGGATAGCAATAGAGATGTGGCTAAACACACTGAAAAGGGTTGCGAAGTATTTGGTGGAAGAACAACAACGAATGGTTGCCTTAGCGATTCAAATGACTCGGGTTATGGTGACATACTTAGTGGCATCAACATTGCGGACGATTTCTTCAGCCAGAGCACATACAATATTTCCACTGCGTTAACGCCACTTTTAGCTACAACCCACGAACCAGTACTGGATGTGCGACAATCTGCGGCTGATCAATCAATGAAAACTGCGCAAATGTATGGCTGTGGGACCGAAACGTTGCTGCCCTTGTTACCAGCAACCGCAGATGCATTGTTGACTGAGAGCATCAAAGAGATTTCGCGCAAACTCATTGAAACTTGTGGTAGCGAGCTGTCGAACGAATTTACAGGAGCAGCAATACGCTCACAAAGCGCCTATTCACGTTGCAGCAGTGATTTCTCCGCAGATAGTGGCATCGATAGCGCCGCCATCGTAAATTGTGACGAGTTGGTGTTTAAGTTTGACAATTTAAATTTTATGATTGATGTTGCGAAAGATACAGCTAGCGACAACAACAACAACAACTACTTAGGCACAAACAACAGCGAATTGGCTGCTACAGCAGGGAACTCGTTCTCCGAGTTGCTTAAGTTACCTATAACAGCAACTGGACCAGAAACGGCAGAATGCATAAATAAAAGTAATTTTTTCAACGATGCAACAAACCTAAATCTACTTTTCGATTTGAATAATAATGAAAATAGTATTTTTGAATTTGAACCCGAAAACGAACGCGAATCTGAACGCGAACGGCTGCGAAAAGCATTACACGAAAAACAACAACAACACGATCAACAATTCATAAATAATTGTTTCGATTTAGTGTGGCCAACAACGTTTGAGAACTGCATGCGCAAGACAGTTACCAAAATTCTAGATATGGATGTGGANTCCGAAAACGAACGCGAATCTGAACGCGAACGCGAACGGCTGCGAAAAGCATTACACGAAAAACAACAACAACACGATCAACAATTCATAAATAATTGTTTCGATTTAGTGTGGCCAACAACGTTTGAGAACTGCATGCGCAAGACAGTTACCAAAATTCTAGATATGGATGTGGAAAAGCAGTTGGGTGCACTACCACATCCAGAAATTGCATAGATAGAGACAAACGTGAGGCAGGCAATATAGTGCTGCATAGCGAAGGATCAGCTGGAGCTCTGTAAGAGTTTGAGTAAGACGGAGGCTCAGAAGTAGTCCTTCATATTTGTATGCCTTAAAATAAATCTTTGGGTGCCTCTGAACTACATAAGTACCCATTATGCAACCGAAAACATTTGCTCCCTCGTTTGCCGCTTCAGCTCAGTCAGGTTTGTTCGATCCGTGCACGACGGCAACTGCAAAAAAAGGTTACGCAATGAGATTATTAAGACAGTGAAAACGAGCGTAATGTCTTAAGGGTTAGCCAACAGCCAGCAGCAAGAAATACCAAAAAACAAATTTTATTGGACAAAACAAACAATGAACTGAAACCGAATAACCTTAACAAAAAAAAACACAATAATAGTAATAAAAAATACAACACACAAAGGTAGCAAAAATTGTTGCTTTTGTTGGATCAGTGGATCGTCTGTTGAAAATTTTCATTACAATTGCGACATCGCCTTTTTTTCTACTTCCGTTGTTAGTTGCTGACCAAAAAACAAAAAGCGTGCTTATAAAACCAAAGCAGCACCAAGAGCAGCAAAAAAGTTGTAACCATCGCGGAAACGTGCTTAACGCGGCTGAAACAAAATACTGCAGCATATTAGTGAAGCAGCAAGGTAAAGAAAAAAAAAACAAAAAATTAAAAGTTGTGAAAAAATTCAAAAATAAATAAAAGCTCAAACACGAATTTATAAAGTAACTAATGCAACAAAAATAGCTTTATTAAAAGCTGAACAAAGCGAACTCACAATGCACCAATACTACCACAATAAAACAATATAAAAAACAATCGTAAGTCTAAAAAGCAAAAGTATTTTCAAAATCGGTAATGGAGTACCCCAGGGATCNAGCTCAAACACGAATTTATAAAGTAACTAATGCAACAAAAATAGCTTGATTAAAAGCTGAACAAAGCGAACTCACAATGCACCAATACTACCACAATAAAACAATATAAAAAACAATCGTAAGTCTAAAAAGCAAAAGTATTTTCAAAATCGGTAATGGAGTACCCCAGGGATCCAGCACCACGAATGCCACAGCAATACAAAATCAACAAAAACAGCTGTAGCAAAAACAAAAGAAAAGCCAACAAAAACAATGAGACACCACACAAAAGTAGAAATAAAAATAATAAAAAGCCACAAATCCACAACCTAGCCAGCCAGACAAACAGACGATAGGCCGTCGCAGAGGAGCTAAATAAAACTTTCACTTTCTCTGCACTCACCAAACCACAACAGACCACAGATCAGTCGCGCACGATCCAATAAGCGAATGAACGAACAAACAGAGGTATGAAAGTACATACGACGTTCGTCCGGCCTCCGTCGGTGCACCCGCTTGGCCAACTTAGCGGCTAACCAGCCAAGCAACCAACCATCCCATCTAACCATTGCACCGTGGCGTCACGACATGCAAATTTATGAGCTAAGCTAAGCTGTGGCGCTGAGTTGAATGGAGTTATGTACATGCTAATGGCATGACAGTAGCAGTAGCGTGCTGATGGTTGAATGGTGCGGGGAACGTCGCGTAATTATTGCCACCGTAGAGAGCATATATGTATGTACGATCATACATACTTACGCATGTATGTTTGTTTATAATAGATATAGAAAAGGTCTGTATGTATGCGCACCTTTCTATGGACTTGTTGGGTGACTAGTTACTTGGTTGGGAGGCCTTTCTATTGAGTTTGCTGTTCATATTGAGCTCACGGGTACGCTCACCTGGATGCACGCATACGCCATTTATTATTTACTCTTAAGGCATCCACACACCTATGCGATTCTGTCGGTGCGAATCTGTTCCGACAAAAATTACAACAATGCCGACCATAGTTTTAAATGAGGAACCACACACTTATACGATTTTGCTGCAGCGATTTATTCGAACATTCAAAATTCTTCTTTTGATCGTGCCGAAATCGCTTACTGCCGCGTTTTGAGAACGAAAAAGGTCAAAAGAAAAATTTTACAATATTAAAACAAAATTAAGAATTTTATTTTTGTTGAAAAATGTTTTTTGTTTGTAAATTGACAGTTTTTACTGCGATAAAATCGCAGGGATGTGTGCGTACTTGCGTTTTCGAAGGAGCAACGTCTGTAGCATCAAAAACGGCGCAGATTCGTTGCGACAGAATCCCATAGGTGTGTGGATGCCTTTATGCGACAAATGTGGAGTTCTTCGAAAAACAATTTGGTTTAGTTATGTATGTACCTATTATAATTAAATTTTAAGAACTGTATTATTTATGAACATTTTAAAGTTAGCCGATAGTGTTCTCCAGTAATTGTTATTTGTGCATAAACTGTTACACAGAATTTTTTGAAAATCGGTTGAGGTTTAGATACATAGATAAATTATAAGCGAACTATTGTAACTTGATGTGTTACAATAGTTATAATACATAAGTATGCTGAGGTTTAAGTTAGGGTATGAGTTTTGAGCAATTACTTGGTATTTATTTAGTTTATTCGAAAGTTCAAAGAACAACTCTAAAACTGATATTTTCTTTTTGATTGTTGGTATTTCCGACATGATGAATTGTGGAACGATTTTTTGTCCCTTATGAAATTTGGTTTGGAAACACGCCTGCGACAAACATGTGTTAAAGAAATTTTAATATCAAAATTTTTGCGTAGCAACTACAACTATTCGTCAGAGTCCCAATTGGTGGTTGTTGTTCTATGACTAAGAAACAGCGAACATTACCGTGGCTTTTCATAACGAAAAATGACACTACTGATGGCCCAATGACGAAACAGGTTTGGCTCCAAACCAAATTTGACATAGCAATACGGACACTCCTGCCACCATTTTTTTTATTAAAATTCAAGTAATTGAGTAACTATTTTAAAAAATATACACGACGAATAGATTTATCTCCTCCTTTTTGTGTAGTCGGTTAAAAAACACAGGTTTCTATATTTTATTATGTGATTCTGCTGGATGAATGTTAGAATTTATGAGAATGCGTTAATTTGGTTTTATCAACCAAGCTAAGGAAAAAAATATCAGATTTTATTTATTTATTACAGATTTTAAGGAATTTATTAGGTGTGGTTTTTTCTTAGGTTTGTTAGAATGTGTTTTACCGAAGTAAGAAAAATTACGATTTCGGCAAAAATTAATAGGGGACTTCTATTATTAACAATAACAATATGCAAAATTAGCATACTGTAAACTGTGATAAGCACATCCAAGGGACAATTCATATTTTAATATTGTTGGCTTGTTTTCAAATATAATCGTAAACTGAACAAAAAAGTATTTAACATTTTATCCTTTGCAATACAAGTGATTTGTATGTCTAATGTGCTAAACTCAATGGGAACCTTAAGAATTTGTACTTTTTATTTATCGAAAAATGTACTATGCATGGTATCATATACATATGTATAATTGAGGGTTTGTACTACTTCAAAGGCATAATTAAACATACCCAGTAGAGTTGCATGAAAACTTCATTAAATTAGGAATTAATTAAGTTAAGTTAATCGAGCTCAATTAGCGCCTTAATCGAGAGAGTGGCTAATGCTCGATTAGCGGCCTGTCTGAACAAACTTTTCAATAACTAAATTTGTTATTTAACTGGTAATGGCAATTCGTTCGTTTTCGTGTCAATAAAACATAACAANGGTTGCATGAAAACTTCATTAAATTAGGAATTAATTAAGCACTATTCAAGCAATTATTTTGTATGGTTAATCGAGCTCAATTAGCGCCTTAATCGAGAGAGTGGCTAATGCTCGATTAGCGGCCTGTCTGAACAAACTTTTCAATAATTAAATTTGTTAGTTAACTGGTAATGGCAATTCGTTCGTTTTCGTGTCAATAAAACATAACAAAGGACTTTAAGAGTGTTTAAGGAAGATTTTCTGAATTTGCGGAGGCTGCAAGTTTCATCGGGGAAAAAACGCATTTTCAAAAAAAAAAAATTCTTCTGGCAAAACTTTATGCAGTACTTTTTTTTGTACTCTCTCTTGCCCATGATAAAAATATAGCAAGGTAGAACCGTTCTCTCAATTTGTCGGCCATAATTTTTTTTTTGAAGTTTGCCAACATTTTAAAATCATATAAAATGAAAAGAAAAAAATGAAATTGTTCGAAATTGTTGTTGCTTGAGATTGAAAATGAGAATGTGTGTGTGAGTTTGTGAGTAAATTTAAAAATTAAATTGTTTGGAAACGTCAAGAATTTGAAATTCCTCTCAGCCGTTCTACCTTACTATATTTATACCCGAACGCACTTGTGCACAAGGGTATATTAATTTTGTTCACATAACGGTTGTTTGTAACAGCCAAAACGAATCGAGATAGATATAGACAAATGTATACATAAATGATCAGGATGAAAAAAGAAATCGATTAAGCCATGTCTGTCTGTCTGTCCGTCCGTCCGTCTGTCCGTCTGTCCGTCTGTCCGTCTGTCCGTGTACACGATAACTCGAGCAAAAATTGAGATATCTCAACGAAATTTGGTATGTAGGTTTCCCTTAATCCAAGGTAGGTTGGTATTGAAAATGGGCGAAATCGGACTTTAACCACGCCCACTTCCCATATAACGGTAATTTCCAGAAATACGAAAACTGCGATATTTTAGTAACTACTGAAGATTATTCACTCAAAATTGATATTTACAATAATTTTTAGACGAAAAATAAGAATATTTTCCTTTTTTGGAAAATGGGCGTAGCCACGCCCACTTATGGTTACATGTGTA